CCTTCTTTTTTTTTTTTTTTATGCTTTTGGTTTTACTTTTGAATGAAAATATGACACTAAATAGGACGCAATGGAGAAAAAGGATTCATGTAGCCGACCCCACGTAGTGGGATTAAGGCTTTGTTGTTGTTGTTGTTGTTGTTGTGCATATGTGGCAAGCAACACTAATCCAATCAGGATTCACATTTATCCAAATTTTTTTCCACCAACTTTTCTTAGCCTTTAACAATCTCATTGAAAAATATAAATTGATTCATTAAACATAAGCCTTATGCCTCATGCTATACATAATGACAAAAAAGTTATGTAGGTAAGGTGTGAACATATGCATTTAACTTTTATGGCTTATATTGTTTACACTTATAATACAACAACTACAAGAAGCCTTTATCCCACTAAGGGGGGTCGGCTACATGAATCCTTGAATCGCTACATGAATCCTTTTTCTCTATTGCATCCTATTGAGTGTCATATTTTCATTTAATTCTAATAGATTAAGATCATTTTTTTGTACAATATGCCCAAGTCTTTTTAGGTCTAACTCTACCTTTCTTAACATCAATTGAAGCTAAAATATATACACTTCTAACCGGATCATCAGATGGTCGACATTTAATGTGACCAAACAATCTAAGACGCCTCTCTCTAATGTTGCCCGCAACTAGAGCTACATGAAACCCAATACAGATATATTCATTTCGCATTTTGTCTCTAAGTGTCAGGCCACTCATCCACCTAAGCATTCTCATCTCAGCAACACTTAACTTTGTTTTATGTTTATCTTTTAAAGGCCAACATTCTACGCCATAAAACATTGCAGGTCTCACCGCCATTTTATAAAATTTTCCTTTCGGTTTAAGCGGTATTTTTCTATCACATATATTAGACTTATAAAAATTCAAAATGCAATATCAAGCTTTCTAGGATTTTCCATGTCCATGTATCGATGTCTAATTGCATAGCATATCTCAAACACTTATCCAAACTTCATTGAAAACAACATTTGCACAGCTCTATTCTAAAAATGAAACATCAAAATCAAACAAGGCATCTCGCCACATATATAGGGCAGGCCCAATTGATGAAGAACCTGCACATACAATGTTTGGAGATGGGTTGAGATATGCAGTTTTACCTTTCATTTGAAAATAGATTGTTTCCATATGGGTGACAACAAACACAGAACCATTAATGACGAAACCATATAAGTACATGTAGAGTGCATATACATACACATTTTATGCATTCATTTACATAGATAAGATGAAACCTAACCTTAAATATATGCTAATAACAGTAAAAAAGTCCATCTCCAAACAAAATTAAAACAAACAGATTTGCAGATAAGCTATATAGAAGCAGCTAAAATGGCATCAAAATAAAACTAAAAACTTGCCTTACTCTTCATACATTTCCAATGAAGGAACTAGAGGCTTACTTATTTTCTTCAGCTTCATCAGTGTCTACAACTTTGCCATTACTAATGTTTGAACTGTCATCAGGCATACTTAGTTCTTTTGCCGTTCTGAGAGCCATTAGCCTCTCCCTTCGGGTAGCAGCTTCTTGCTCAGTTGAATCTTCTTCAAAGGTTTCAGATTTCCTAGCAAGGTAAGAGCTTAAGACAAAAAAAAAATTCCGGTAAACTACTAAACAAATAATGCTTAAACTAAACCACTATGAAGCAAAAGCACCTCAACCTATTATCATTTCTCCGCTCTGTAATAGCTATAGATAGTCCTTTAAACATTTCTATGATTACTCTAGGCAAGCCTAACTTTAGTTTTAAAATCAACAAACTTGTAAAATTTTAAAATAAAAAAGAGAAACATAACTATCAACATTAATTGGGTGTAGCTCCACTTCTGCAAGCAAATACACGAATTTTTTAACAACTAATTAAAATAAGAAGACAAACAAAACCATAATAAATGCCTTTAGAACTCATTGAATCAAACAGCAGAAGAACAAATTAGATTATACCAAATAGTCATGATTTCGTAAACAAACAACTTTACTCGAAATTCTAATTTGAATGAGCTGAAAATCCACTGATAAAATGCAACCAGAATATTTCCAATCATATTAAAAATACTATAACATATTCCACAGCAGAGTATGGCATTTTCTTTCAACATGAGTGGACACTATAATGGACGAAATAGATTTTCTTAGCAAATAACAAGAGAAATGCATAACATCATTTATACCTTTCCCCAACAAGCTCCCAAAAAAATTATCTAAAGAGACAACAACAAGCTAGTGATTCATCCATTACTCGCTTACGCTATGCATCAATAAACCCTGAAAAATAACTTTTCACACCATCCCTTGACAATGCAATAAATTACTTATGATGTCAAACAGCCAGTAAACCAAGCTTTTTCGCAAACATGAAAGACCCAAAATCATTTCCAGTCACCTAATTAAGAAGATAAATCCTAAAAAGTAGAAAAAAGTAAAACATGAAATTATGCTCATTCAAAATATTTCCAATCAGATAATCCAAGAATGCTTTACAAACAAAAACTAGTAGAGCATTTACCTGGATAAAACCAAATTCTATAATATTTACAAGTCTAACACCTAAACTTCAATTTTTACATTTATATGACTCATGTCACATAAAAAATACAACAATTTTAACTTTAAAAAAAAGTAAAATGCACCTTTTCATGCATGGGGAAGGAGGCATGAGTGTAAAAATTCAAGTTTAAGTGTTAGATATGTAAATACATTAAATTTTCCCAAATATTATCATGATAGAAAAGTTATACATTGTGAAATACTCGCCAATGTTCTCATACAATAGCAAGTTAGGACACAAAGAAAATCATTGGGCCAGATTGGATTGATACCAGCTCAAGATGAAGTATGGAAGTGTATAAGTCAAATATTAAATTCAACAATTTTGTATGCTGGTTAGTTAATTCTATTTGGCCAATATGCTCTACCCTAAACTCCCTTCCCCAAATTAGGTTCTTCTTCTGATATTAAATCGTATGTATTGTAATATGGATCGGATTAATCCTCATTTAATTTTCTAAAATACTAGATAGTTAGGATTATCTATACTCTTGCTTTAATGTGTCAAATTAGAAATAAGAATTATGAAATGGGATCTAAAAGGTTAGTGTAGAGACCAGAATAACTCGAACACGAAAATTTAAATACGAGACAAAGAAACTCACTTTTCTTCATGGACATCAGCCATGAATTCTGCTTCTAGGCCATTATTCTGATTAGCATCCCCATCAACATCAGGCATGCTGGCGTACTCCTTAGCTGCTCTCAGAGCCCTTAGCCTCTCACGGCGAGTGCTAGTTGATTGATCAATTGAATCATCTTCCATTGCCATACTTTTAGAAACTGTAAGGGGCTGTTTCGTTGAAGGATTTGAGAAGAATTTAACCTAAATAGTGCAGGATCTTCAATACCGTTTCTCCTCCGTTTTGCCTTAAATCCTGGATTTAGTAAATCCCTTTGAAAGATAGACTGAATTTAGATGAGCTGAGACGCGCGAAGGGGGGTGGGGAAGGGAGAAAAGGACGGCGGTTACCTTAATGGTTTCGTGAAGGGTTCCTCAATGGTTTCGGGTAGAAGCCAAGCGGATGGACGAGAAAGATGGGGGTTTTGGCGGTCTTTGTACGCTGTAATCCGGTCCCTGTCTTCCCGCCTAGTTCTAGACACGACTGTATCGCGAGGGTTTCGGCCACGACAGGAGGAAGGGTAACCGGGAGAAGGATGAGAGGGCAGTAGGGCTGTGAACGATGACTCGTATTCCGCTCGTTCGATATAGGCTCGTAATCGCTTGTGTTCGTGATCGAAATCGTGTGCTCTTGTGCGGCTAGAATAATATCTCGTGTTCGGCTCGAAATAGAACTAGGGAGGATTAGCAGGCCTGAGCGGCGAACCCTAGGCTCTCGCACCAGAAAATCTTTCGTGATTTTGAGAGGAGAATGAGGAAAAAGCAGACGGCAGCTGGCGATCGCGAATTTGACTGGAGACGGCCCGAGAGATGAGAATGAGATTATGGGAGGCTTGGCTCTGTTCGAAATTTTTTTTGGTACAGTTTATTATATATTATATTAAATATGTAATTTATATTTTATAAATATATATTAGTTATATAAGTAATAGTAATATAATATTCTTAATATTTTTTATATATTATAATTTATAGGATAAATTTTTTAAAATAATTTTAATTAATTATAATTTATAATATTTAATTTTATAAATACGTATTATGTATATTTATATATATTTATTTTCGATCCAATTCGAGCCGAACACGAGCGAACAAACTTTCATTTGTGTTCGGCTCGTTTACATTTCGAGCTTAAAAATTTGTTCGTGTAGTTAACGAGCTGAACACGAGCTGTTCGCGAACAACAAGCCAAATTGACAGCCCTAGAGGCCAGGCGAGGTAAAGTTATTTCGTTTGAAAAATAAAAAAGGGGGGGGGGGCGACGACGTATAGATATTTCGACTGAAAAATTAAATAAATAAAGAAAAAAGATGTAGCCCGAAGATTAGGAAAGAATATGATGCATCAAAATCTGACATATTATTTAATATTTGACGCACTCTTTCATTCTCTGTCAAAGAGCTAAGTTTTTGCATATGATAAGAAGGTTTTCTTCGAGTTATACGATTATGGTTAAGACGATAACTGTGTGTTATTTGTGAACAACAAGTCAAGTGAGAAATATTTATGATCAAATCTGAAAAAAAATTGTGAGAAGTTTGAAATGAATGTGAGTTTTGTTGCGTTTGAAATATTGACATTAATTTATATTTGTTTGATTTCCTTTGTATTCTGAATCAATTGTATTATATTATTTTTCTGGTTTTTGTGATGATTTTATTGTGTTATTATAAAGTTATTTTGGTGGTTACAGTTATTGTTTTTTTTTTTTTTTTGTATTGTGGTGATTTTGAGGTGGTATTGTGATTTTTATTTTGATAGTATTGTCGTATTATTCTTGTGGTATTGTAGTAGTTTGTGGTGTTATTGGACTGGTATTGTGGTTGTATTTTGTTTAAATTGTGGTGGGATTGTTGATGTATTGTGATGATTTAGTGGTTGTATTAACGTGATTTTGTGGTGATATTATCTTATTATTTTGGTGGTATTATAGTAACCTATGGTGTTAATGGAGTGATATTGTGGTTTTATTAAGATGGAATTGAGCTTTATTTTGTTCATATTGTAATGGTTTCACGGTGTTATTGTAATAATATTGTGGTGGTAATGTGGTGTTATTGTGGTGATGTTTTGGTTGTATTGATGTGGGATTGATGTTATATTTTGTTCATATTGTGTTGGCTTTGTGGTGTTTAGGTGGTGTTGTTGTGAATGTATTATGATGATTTTGAGGTTATGTTAACGTGATTTTGTGGTAGTATTGTCCTATTATTTTTGTGATATTATAATAGTCTATGGTGTTATTTGAGTAGTATTGTAGTTGTATTGAGGTAAGATTGAGGTTATATTTTGTTCATATTAGAGTGTTATTGTGGTTTTATTGTAATGTTATTTGCGTGTTAATAATGTGGTGTTATTATGGTGTTGTGTTATTAATGCTATTATGGTGTTATTGAAGTGGTATTATGGTCGTATTGTGGTGTTATTAAAGTAATATTACGGGTGTATTGTGGTGTTATTGAGGTGGTATTGTGGTGTTATTCTAATGGTGTCTTTATGAAGCTCTTGTTATTTTTCTTTTAGGTGTTTTCTTGTTATTATGATGTTATTTTATGATATTAAGGTATTTTTTGTATTAAAAAACATTGTGCTTATAGTTTAGTGATTTTCATATTTAATCATGTTTAAAATATTCTATAAATGTGCAGTTTTGAGGAACTGGGAATGTTGGTAATGATTCAATTACATACAGATTTTTGGCACCATTGTACACAGTGAGAAACAACATAGAACTATAATGTGTTTATGCACATTGTTGACCTCACTTTTGGTTGAGGTCTAGAAAACTTCTTTAGTAGCCTAGGTCTAGCCATAGGACTTTCCTATTGACTAGTCTTAGAAAACTAGAAGAGGTACCCCACTATTAGAAATTCA